CCCACTAAGTCTCCAAATCTGGCCTCTAACTCACAATGCTACTGCTTTAGCCTCCAGAGCACCTGGGGTTACAGACGTGAATATCAAATCAGCGTTATCTTTGCAATGCACTATGGAGAAAAGTCTCAAAAAATCTCATTCAGAAAGTTCTGATACACATATCTATTAGTAAAGTGTCTAATAAAACTTAAAAACACCACATATTTTTAAGCCAGGGTGAGCTGAATTCCATTATTCATCTGGCAAGAGGACTAGCTCTTCCTGGAAGCCTTCACTAACCTTTCTCACCTCTCTCAACTACAGTTTCCACCCCACTTCCTGTTTGTTGCTCCTCTCAAGGCCTCCAGAACCAAGGTTTCCCACAGCTCACAATGCTCACAACCAAACCTGTTTCCTTTTCCCACCTCTACCTCACATTCTCCATAACAACTGGCAGCTCCAGATGTGCTCGGTGTTCCGCACTCCATTGTCCATTCTTTAATCTCTCTGCCTTTGAGGACAAGTTCTTCTCACTTCCTGGAATACCACTGCCCACCTGTGCCCTTAACAAACCCCTTCACGATGCAGCGGAAGTATGTGCTGCCCCCCCCCCATGTATTCTCTGATCTACAGGCCCTAGCAAATGTTACTTCTCCATGGGGCCATTACGCTACTGTGCGACCTGCTCACTTTCCTCTAGCACAGTGGTCCCCAACCTTCCTAATGCTACAGTCCTTTAATACAGTTCCTCATGGTGGGGTGACCCCAACCATAAAATTATTCTCATTGCCACTTTGTAACTGTAATTTTGCTGTTATGAATCATAATGTAAATATCTATGCTTTCCGGTGGTGTTAGACAACCCCGGTGAAAGGGTTGTTCGACCCCCAAAATGTTGTGACCCGGCCCACAAGTTGAGAACGGTGCTGTAGATCAGGAGCAAAGATGATAGTACCCATGTTGTTCATCTCAGTGCTTCGCACACTTCTGATACCTAGTAAACATTCAGTGAAGGTTTGTTTGCTATCTGGGTAACAAATCTGCAGTTGTCTTGATGGTGAACCAGACAGTCCTACCTAGAGACCGGAGCAGTGTGTGTATTATAACTTATTATATGTATATAGCAATTACTTATAAAAAATGAGTTCTTTGCCTGGCATGGTGACACATACCTTTAATCCCAGCACTTGGGAGACAGAGGCACGTGGATGTCTGAGAGTATGAGGTCAACCTGGTCTACACAGTGAGTTCTAAACTAGCCAGCTAGGCTGTGAGACCCCATCTCAAAAACATCAAACTAAAACAAAAAAAAGTTCTTCTCCCAAGACACTATTATCTTCCTCCTCTGGTACCCAGTATCAAGGGAACTCTGTTAATGCTGTGCTCAATTTGGTCTCCCTTATTATTATTATTATCACTTTTAATTATGTGTAGATGTGTTGTGTTTCTGCATATAGGAGTGTGCACCTGAGTGCAGGTGCCTGAGGGAGCCAAAGCCCCAGAGCTGGACTTACAGATGATCTGAGCTGCCTGAGTGAGTTCTGGAAACCAACTGGAAGAGCAGCAAGTGTTCTTAACCACTGAGCCATCTCTTCACCGAATTCTATCTTCTTTAATCTTTATAAGCCAACATAAGCCAATATCCTGTCTGTTAGCACGGGTCACAACATGCCACGGGGGCCTTAGCTTTTGCCCGTCAGTCGTTCTAGCAGTATCCTTAGGGAATGGAATACCAACGTGGCGGGGCGGGGCGGGGGTGGGGGATAAAGAAAAGAATAGGCACAGGTTCTAAGGTATGCCCACGTTGGATTCTGTTTCTCCAGTCCCCTGGCTGACAAGGCCTGGAAGCAGCAGAATTGGGGACAATCTCTGACACTGCCCAGGTTCCACCCTCTCCGTGGGCAAGGGAGTAAGGGACCCCGGTGCCATAAAGTCTAAGATCACACAGCAAACCAGAGTCAGGGCCAGCCTACACTCAGGACTCCGGCTGGAGGCTGGGAGCCCGGCGCCCTCCTCCCCCGGGCAGGACGGAACCAGAGAGGCCTCACCGCTGGCGGATGCCGCCCACGCTCATCCGCCGGCCCGGAGCGCTGCACCGCGGTGCGCACAGAACCGCAGCTGTTGTCTGCTGTCACGGGCGACGGACACCGGCCACTTCCGGTGCCGCGCGGCACTGCGGCCAATCCGCGCGGGCCGCACTCGCGGGAGGAACAGGTGGCCAGCGGGCCCACGCCCCCTCGCCCGTTCCCGCTTCCCTGGCCGCTGCTCTCACCCTAACTCACCCCATCGCCACCCGGCTGGCGAGGGCCGGTCGGCTCCCTGCAACGTCCCAGGGCACCTCGCGAAACCCACTGTGCCCTCGACCACTGACACGCGGGGTCCTCCGGGTTTCCTAGAACGGCTCCCGGGATGCACTTCCGCTCCACAGAAGCCGCTCTGCGCGCCCCTGCCGTTTCCGTGGGCTGGAAAACTTGCAACTCCGGTTCTCTTCCCGTGGGAACGTGCAGAAGTACCCTGCACACACACCTCCACGTCTGTGCCAATTCACCTCCCTCAGAGTCTGTCAGCCGAGGCCCTTAGATTTAGGGCACACCTGTCATCTTCTACGAGCGAGGCGAGACCTGCTTTGAGGTCAGGAAAGACTTCAGGGAATGGTGCTTTGACAAACACCTTAAGGTTGAACGTGATTCCCCTCGCTTGTTCAGGCAATACGAATTATTTGCTGGCCTTCCTCTCTCTTGAATAAATTTGGTCTCTTCTTGCCTCAGAACGTGTGTGAATATGAATGTGTTGATCCTCCTGCTTCAGCCTTCCAAGTGCTGGGATAAGCAACCATGCCCAGTGAAATAGACCTTTGTGTCTGTTTGTGAGGCAGAGTCCTAATCTTGACTTGAACTATGTACTAGTAGTTCAGGCTGGCCTTGGATTTGAGGCAATCCTCCTGCCTCAGCCTCCCTGATGCTGGGATTAGAGGCCTAAAACAACATACCCAACTCTAAAATGAGCGTTATAACGAAATCAGTCAAAATTCTAGGTGGTTGCAGATAGTAGGCAGCCGGTCAGATACCGGTGTGAAAATGGCTGACGAGGGACTCTGAACCCTGGACATCTTATCCCAATGCAGAGGTGATGTTTTCCTTCCTGTCGGGCTGTGTAGTGGATATATATCCCAACAGTCCTTTCTGTTTCACCGTTATTTCTGTAGTTGGGCAAATACAGAAGCCTGCCCCTGACTTTGGGGCATAGTGGTGGCCCTGGGTTTGTCTGATCACAAGTCCTCTTTCCTCTGACTAGTCCAGAAGCATCACTTGCCTTGAGGGTGGTACCCTTCCCTTTATCCCAGTGCAGATGCGGCATCCCCTTAATCTCATTATCTCTCCAGCACAAACACTGGCTTAGCATTAAGTTTCCTGGTGCTCATTTTTTTTTCACTTTAAACTACTTTTTAATTTTTTTCTCCCTGCCCCATTTGCTGTTTTTCACTGGAGATCCGTCTAAGAGCGATTTCTAACCACATGACAGAGTCGATATCAGGCCGCCTTGAAACCTCCTCTGCCAAAGAAGTCAGTCCTTTACTTTTCCATTTAGCCTTAGGCAAGTTCTTAGGCCATGAGCGGGAGGCACCCACAGTATCACAACATTGTGACATTTTTCCAGAAAAATCACAACCATCTCTAGCCCATTTGCTTGCCATTATTCCCCTCTGGAACCTCTTGATCTAAGCTCCACAGTCTGAAGAGTTCTCAGTACTACTTCCTTCCCAGCCCCTACTAGAATTGCCTATTGTTATCCTGCGTCCAAAACAGCCTTTCTAGCCCAAAGGTCCAGGGTCTTCCACATTCCTCCAAAAACAGCATGGCTGGCCTGTCACAGCAATAGCCTGACACCAGCTTCGGTGTTAGTTATCTTTCTATTGTTGTAATAAGACAACATGACCAAGACAGCTTGTAGAAGGAAGGGTTCATTTGGGCTGATGGTTCCAGAGGGATTAGAGTTCCTCGATGACACAGTGGGACGCATGCCAGCAGCCCTGGTGACAGCAGCAAGCAGTGCTCAAATCTTAAATCACAACCAGGAAGCAAACTGGAAACATCTCGAGTCTTTGAGCTCTCAAAGCCTGCTTCCAGTGACACCCTTCATTTAGTAAGACATCACATCCGAACTGTCCAAACAATGCCACCAGGTACTCAAATGCCTGGGACTATGGGGACATCTCATTGAAACCACCAGACACACACATACTGTGTGTGTGTGTGTGTGTGTGTGTGTGTGTGTGTGTGTGTGTGTATAAAGATAGGTACATACCTGTCTTCTATTTGTTGGGAAGGAAAAAGGCCGGAGGATGGCTCTAAGTTCAAAGCCAGACTGGCCTACAGAGTGAGTTACTGACGGAGCTACAGACTTGGACTCTATTTCAAAAAATAAAAAGTAGCCAGGTGGTGGTGGCGCATGCCTTTAATCTCAGCTTTTGGGAGGCAGAGGCAGGCGGATCTCTGTGAATTTGAGGTCAGCCTGGTCTACAGAGTGAGCTCAAGGACCACCAGAGCTACACAGAGAAACCCTGTCTCAGAAAACAAGAGAGAGAGAGAAAGAGAAAAAGAGAGAGACAGAGAGAGAGAGAGAAAGAGAGACCTAGGCCCCCTCAGTCCATGAAGATTTATATGAAGATAATAAATAATCTTCAGTGGTGCAGCCACTGTCAGGGACCTTTGCTCTGTAAGCAAACTCCTACCTACACTTCTACAAACAACGCTAATAAAACTCACCAGGTCACCAACCCAAAGAAGTAGAAAGGAGGCTAGGTGGAAGAGGACGAGAAAGAACAGGAGTGAGAGGGGCAGAGGGGAGGGTGACGGGGATGTGATGAAAATATAAGGTGTATGAAAGATGAAACCCATTATTATGTATAATTAATATATGCTAATTAATTAAAGTCTGTCCTTGTTCAGGGTGCTAACAGTGAGTGGGGAAAAGACTTTGTTATTGTTGTTTATTTTGAGACAGGATCTCTCTCCATAGCCCTGGCTATCCTGGAACTCACTATGTAGACCAGGCTGGCCTCCAACTCATGGAGATCTGACCGCCTCTGCCTCCGAGTGTGAGGATCAGAGGTGTATACCTCCATGCCCAGCCTACAGTCATAGGATACCCTTAGGTGTTACACTCAGGAATCATTTTCTATTTCCCTGCCAGTGTAGCTGCATTTGCTGCTGCAACTTCACCCTTCTCCACTCCTCCCAAGCCTTCCTCTAGGCCACGATACTGAGGATTTACAGCACAGTCATTCCCGTACACACGTTCACCCCAGACTCCAGAACCAGGAGCGGAAGACCTTAGATTCTGCCGTCTTTTATCTAGTACAGCCACATTAGTGAGCAGTCCCCAAGAGCCTGGATCAGTGCAGTGGTGGCTGTGTTGGCAGAGTTCTAGGGCAAAGATTACAGTCCCCGGATCCCAGCCAACTTCTCCAGGTACCTGTCCTCATACAACAGTAGAAGTGGTAGCGGTGCAGGACAGGGAAAGATTGGGTCAGTGATGCTACATTGTGAAGAAAAGATGGATCCAGTGAACTCCCCAAGCCCATCTTTGGGGTACCGGTATGAGCTTTAAGTTTAAAGAGAAGCCTAGGGACCGGGTGAGAATTCTTAGTGAATGAGCAGTCTTGATCTGTGTGGTCTGGTTAGAGATCTCCATTCCGATTCTTCAGTCCGTGTTGCTGGTGGGATCAGTTCCCATGAAATGCTTGCTCCTATCTCACGAGGGGACAAAATGTCAGTGCTCCTGCAGCCCCTGTTCTCTATGGTGACTAAAAATTTAAGAAAATTACTAGGGAAGCAGGCAGTGGTGGCGCACACCTTTAATACCATCATCTGGGAGGCAGAGGCAGGCAGATCTCTGAGTCTGAGGTCAGCCTGGTCTACCTAGGGAGTTCTACAAGGCTATATAGTGAGACCCTATCTCCAAAGGATGTTTCAAAAAGGTTCATCTTGTTGCAAATTATATCCTTTGAAGACCATAACTTAGGAAGCTGCTGGACCTTAAATGTACCAGTAATAACACCTGAGTGCAGTTCTCCCCTGAGACGCCTTGGCACCATGCACTCTCCTCTCCCCAATAACCATTTCATTTGCCTTCTATTGCCGTGATAAACACCACGACCAAAAACAACGTGAGGAGGAGAGGGTTTATTTGGCTTGTTCATCCCAATCACAGGGCACAGTGAGGAAGTTGGGGCCGAAGCTCGAGGCAGGAGCCCGGAGTCAGCAACTGAGCAGAGACCTTAGAAGAGTGCTGTTCACTGGCTTACTTTTAGGCTCATTTTTAGCTACATCTCCTGTGCCACCTGGGACTACCAGTCTGGGGTGGCACCACCCACAGTGAGCTGGCTCCTCCCACATCCATCACTAACCGAGAAAATGCCAATAGAGGCTTTCTCACCATGGGAGTTTCCTCTGCATTTGACCCTGGCTTGGGTCAAGTTGACATAAAAGTTAACCAGGACACGGCAGAACAATAAATCCGCTATCTTTTGTTTCACACTGACTCACCCTGAAATTCTTTTCTGTGCTGAGGTAAAAATCCTGGCTTAACCTGAGTAAGGTCCCTAAGGAGTCGGAAAGGGACAGTGCAGGCTGCTGCTGACTGTACCAGGCTGTGTCTCCCTGCTACTGCCGACACTGACAGACTCGGGATCTCTAGAGAATTGAGTTTGTAGGTAAGCATGAGCGGGTTTGTTCTTGAAAAAGCAACGTTGTAAGTAGGTACCTTGCACACATTTCTGAATTCTAAGAGGTACAAAGAAAACAAAAGATGTTGGGGTGGTGGTGGCACACACCTTTAATCCCAGCACTGGAGAGACAGAGGCAGGCGGATCTCTGAGTTCCAGGCTGTTACACAGAGAAACCCTGCATCGAAAAAGAGGGGAGAGAGAGAGAGAGAGAGAGAGAGAGAGAGAGAGAGAATGAAGTGCTTTGCTCCCCGCTTTGCCTCTATCTGTGAAACGTGTGTGGGAAGGGGAGCTTTCAAGCCCTGGCTCTCTATCTTGATTTCTGAGACCAGGTTGATGCAACCCAGGCTGGATTAGAACTCCTGACCCTCCTGCCGCAGCTGAGTGCAGGGATTATAGCTGTGGGCCACCACACCTGGCTTCTTCCTTATATTTCCAAATCCTTTCTCAAATGAGTTGACGACTGTTTCGGATTTAGTGCTATTCATATTTCCAATCACCTGCGGGCCATATTCCAAGAGCCATTGAACTGTTCGTATTTCCCATCAGCAGCCTCTCAGTCTTCCATGGTAGCGTGTTAGGATTCTAGAAGAAATGATTTAAAGGTTTGAATGAATGACCTTGTGACTCTCCTGGCTCCCACAGGCAGATAGCCACAGCAGAAGGGTCCGGGCTTAGGCGGCGCTCTCTTCCTGTTAGCTGTGTTCTCGCTCCCACCACCCGCACCCAGGCCTTATTTCTCGCCATCAGCTGTCTCCACGTTCTGACTTTCTTC